TTTTAATTCCACGTATTACGTTTTTGGCCAGGAGTTTGTCTGCTCGTCGATTTCCTTTAACTTCTAAAAATAACCGCGCACAAAGCAAAACTCCGACGCCGTTGAACCAAAATATTTCACGCCTGTTAGTGTGGTTTCTTCGCTTTTAATTCTTGCACATCTTCCAGATTGTTAAAAAATGGGAAACTTGGGCAGTACTGTGCGCGACGAAGAAGAACCAGACCTGTTCTGGACCAATGGGCAAACTGGGCTCGAAGAAGTTAACGGCGAAAACGGTGAGAGTTCGTTGCAAGCGCCAGTTTCTTCGGTTCGCATCAGTCTAAACCAACTAAGCGAGGAAAAACGGCTGGAATTAAACGAGTTCAAGTTCGACATGGAGCGAAAGCACGAAAAGCGAAGAGAAATTCTGGATGCGAAGAAAAAACAGTTCGATGATCTGCGGGAAACTGTGAAAAGACTCACCGAAGAAAACGAGCGGCTCAAATCGCACAACAGTTCCCAAAAGAGCGCAGATGAGCACACGAGGCTGCTGATGTCGACTAAAAATCCTGGAGGAGTTCCTGTAGAAGAGCTTGAGAGAGTTCTGAGTGAAAATTGCGTGATGCCAGACCAGGCGGAAGATTTGGATAAAACCAACGTCCTCCTGGACAAAAACAGGCAGCTACGAATCAGCATAGCGGAAATGCAGGCGGAGCTGCAAAGTTTGAACAGCGTCGTAGTAGATTTCGACAGAGAGAGGGAGGAGTACAAGGCGCATGTGGTCGCTCTTAAGGACGTGATAAACGTGTCGAAAAAAATGCTTCTCATCAGGGAGTCGCAGCTCAAAGAGGTAAGTGCCTGCTTCAGCTCACACAAAGCGCTTAGTGAAAAATTGCAGTTGAGAGAAAAAGTGGAAAGCATCGAAGTGTCCCTATCAGGAAAAGAGATGAACATCCTTTCGCAGGACCTCAGGATGGAATATGAGCGGCAGCTGCAGAGCATCAGAAACCTGAGAGTTTTGTACGAGGAGCGCCAGCAGACCGACCAGGCGGAAAAGCGCGAGCTCAAGAAAACTCTGGACGAGACCAAGAAGGAACTGGAGGCCCAACAAGCGCAAACCAAGTAAGCAGTTAAACCAGTGAAGTTCCCGATGATAAACACAGCCATTAACTCAAAGGGAAGCCGAAGAACGGATCAGTGAACTGGAGGACATCAACTCGCAAAAGTACGACCAGATCAAAGCCCTGGAATCGAACCTCGGCCTCACTACAGCTGAATCCAGACAGTACCAGGCGGAACTCACAGTCATCAACCAACTATTCTCGGAGATTCTTCTAGGATTCAACAGTTCTCAGGTACTGGACTTGACTATTGAAGCCTGAAACCGGAAAACATTGCGAATCTCCAGGAAATCAATTTGGACATCCTGACCAAACACCTCGAGGACAATCACGCACTTTTACAAAACATTGTCAACAACGAGTCTTCATCTGCTTTGCCCAAAGTGCTGCTAGACTTGGTCTATCAAGTGCACAGTGAGGAAGAGAAAAACGGTGCCATTCGAGATGAGGCTCGATTGGGCACAATCATTGAAGAAGCAGGTGCGTGAGCGCGCGTCAACCCCGCTTAACTCATAAAGAATTCTTCACTTCTTTTCAGACTCCCAGGCAGCGCCCGATCAGATCAACAGTGCCGCTGAGATCGTGGAATTGCTGCCGAAAGTCTGGCGAGTCCTCATAGAGCTGTTAAGCCACCACAAGGTGCCGCCCAACATAATCGACGAAGAATCCACTGATGATAGTCCCTGCTATAAAACCGTGCAAACCCCCAAAGGTAAGAGTAAGAGAAGCACACTGTTAAAAACATCTGGTTCAATTTTCACTCAAAGGTTTTTCACACACGTAACTGAAAATTCAGATACCTGTTATTGAAAACTCAGAAACCAGTTATTGAAAATTCAGATCTTGTTATTGAAAATACAAATGACTTTTGGTAAAAAAGAAGAAGAAGAAGGTTACTTTAAAAAACTTCTTCGTGCCATACTCAGAGAGAGCGTGCGCGACCTCTCGCGGATATTTGCGTAACGCACCATCCAAATAATACGAGGGACCTGTCGAGATGTTTTCCTATGGCAGATTTCTGCTGTTGTTCTGGTCTGCGTCCAACGGGATGACAGATATTCAATCAGTCCCTGCAAATAGGTTAAGATCTGAAGACTTTTCAGCTCCATTTTATTGAATTTTCAGTTACATGTTATTGAATTTTGGATTTTCAATAAGAATACTGAAAATTCAATCACAGTGTGCATGGATTTATTTTCAACAACCAAAAATTGAATTTTCAGTTACAAAACTTACTGAAAAGTAACTGAATTTTCAACAGTGCATGGTTTCACTCCTGAACAGCTATATAGAGCAACTTTTGCTTGACGAATAAAGTTCTTTGTGGCTGGATGGTGCTTAACCAACCTGATTTGACCGCTTGTTTTAGGCCCAAGCTTAGTGCTGAGCGTGAGCCAAACCTTCATCAGACTGAAGGATTTGATTTTGGAAAAAAAGTCCCTTGAAAAGGAGACCGGCCACTTGAAGCAGCTGAACACCCATCTGGAAAGCCGGCTGCAAGACCAAGAGAAGCGGCTTCAAACAGTTTCAACTGAACTGAACAAGACCTGGCATGTGGTGAGCAGTTTAAACCCTAATTGCCCTTTCATGGCGAAGCCCTTGATTTTTTCGCCGATTTCAGGTGGGAAAGTTGCAGAAGGAACATCAGCTGCTCCACACTCAGGAGAAAATCCTGCGATACGAGCTGGCTCAGAAGAGAAAACTGCTGACCAGCTTGAGGGAAGAGCTGCAATACTCGCGCGAAAAGTGGCAGGAGGCGAGGGAAAAAAACTCGAAAACCGAAAAACAGTGGAAGCAGCTCAGAGTGGAGTTCGCAACTAGAAGAAACACCATCGTGAATGACGAATTCAACAACAGCCAGGAAAGCGGTTATAGTGATGAACGATGCTCCAGTGATGATGAGCCAGGATACGAAACAGACGTCTCAGAATGCGCACCCAAACCAACAGAACCGGAAGCCATCGAAGAAGTGCATTGCTGTGAAGCAGAAGAAAGCAGATCTGAAGCTCTGGAGTCGAAAATCCATTTAACGCAAAGGCGCATTGAGCAAGGCAGCAGAGCGATAGAATCAAGCGCTGAAAATGCGCAAAGTGACGCTCAGAGCCAAGGAAAAGAAGAATCCTGCACAGAAGCACCAATTTTGGATGCAACTGGTAGCAGCAGTGAAGACCCTCAGGTCCCAAGCAGTTCCACATCGGCAGAGCGACCGAAAACTCTGGAAGAAATGTTGGCAGCAAAAGAAGAACGGCTGAAGCGGCTGGAGGGCCAATGTGGGCAACTCATGCAGCAAGTGAACGGCACCACGCAGAAAAGCCTGATGATCTCGAATAAATTAGATGACTTGCACGAAGTGTATGGGGAGCGATCAGCGGCTCAACCCACTGAAGATACTGAGAACAACTGTGATGCACCCGCAAGCAGCGAAGACTCAGTGCCTTAACTATTTGCGATGTTTTGCTTATTGCACCTACACCCCGATTTTCCTTAAGAAAATCCTCTTTACTGTACCTGGTCCTGTCCTGTCTCCTATTCGTCTGATAATGTACCTATATTTATGTGGGTAGGTACCTATCTGTAATATTTTTTAGAATTTATACAGCGAATAAACGTAATTTATTTTTAATCACAGGCTTTATTAGTTTTTTAATGGGAGGGAAACCTGTGGGTCTTTGACCAGAAGGAAGTTCATTTGCTTAAGCAAAGACCTGAAGGACTCCAGGAAAAGTATGTTTAAATCTGGCAAACAGCAGGATTGAGTGGAGGATGAACAGATTACAGCCTTAGTCGCAGTCGAAATAAAATTGGATTGATAATGTTTTTAAATTATATTATTTTCTTTCCTGGGCTCCAGTCACAGTGTGAAACAAAAATGTGCATATTGTTTATTTCGTTACGTCTCGGCGAGACAACAGCGCCATTATCAGGTTTTAAAATTAATTCAAACTCATAATTGGTAAACATTATATTTATTTAGGTCTTTGCTGTCTTGAAACCTTCAATTTGTTTGAATTATTTTCTACATTTGCCTTCGATGCGAAAGGCAAATGTAGAAAATAATTCAAACAAATTGAA